CAACGAGTTGCTAACAAGCTGGCTGTAAAGCTCGTGTGAGCTGGTGCACTGCGAGCTTACCCCAGTAGGTCATTACTCTGCATGACTGCTTGGCCACGGGAGTTAATAAAACGAAGTAGTTTTAGTAAAACAACGCAAGTTTTAGATTAGCCAATGACAGAACGGTGGGGAAGCTTACTTTTACGTCGAGTGCAACTTCAGTTTAGGTTAAACTTTGGATGGTTTTAGGAGCTAAAACAACGGGCAAAATATGTGAAAAGCACAATAATGTTTGTCCCTAGCGTTATAAATTACTCCGAGTAAGCTTAGTTAATGATTGTAGTGATCACGGATGGGAGGTCATGAATGTGGTCATAGCTGCTTCAGTTTCATTGCGGCATGCACCTTGACGTGTTGACGTAAAACAAGTTGTTTGCCAGAATGAAAACGGCAAACAACTTGTTTCGAAAGTGCCTGTAAAACCATCTTCAATCAACCTATCATCAGATTAGATGAAGCAACTTTAAACAACGCACCCAATCCTTATTTAAGTAACTTTAGACATTATTTAAGCCTAAGTCTGGATGCCACAGAAAATTTTATCTCAAACAATATTCTGACAGAGAATTCCCTTTTCAAATGGGAGGTGAGAAAATATTTTGATGTGACCTTTGGATAGAGAACTATCGATAGAATAACATGTAGGTAAAAATTGAACAGTTACTGTTGAAACTTTTTTCTGTCAGAAAACAGTAAAAACTCGACGTTAAGTTTATAAATGTCACATTTGGTAGCCAAACACACAAAAGATGTCGTTTGAAAAATTATCATAATATTTCTGAAAAGTTGCAAAAGAGGTGTTTTCTGACATTTTTTGTGGCAGCCAGAGTGTCCCTAAGAAATTTTTAAACAATGAATTTACACTGTTAAAGTTAACGCTGGAATTGCCAAAACACAACACTTCATGAATGTATCCTATAATATTATAGAGGATTTCCCCGGCAACAGGTGGTTACTGTACTATCTGTTGAAGGTCGAAAACTAACCTGTTCTCGGCGAATATCGAATTAACATAAAAATTACTACGCAGTATATGTAGTTTTTGTTAAGATATACTACGTAGTACGACTCGACAGTCAATTTACAATGTTGAGTCAATTATTTGGGGCCCTGTTTACAGTGTTAACTGAACGATCAATTTTCAAGACCACTTAACGCCGCAAAAATAAGGGAAGAAAACCCTCGCAAATTGATATCGTCTTTATGGCTACACTTAACCCCGGGAATAAAATTATACTTCGAAATATCCGTGCCCACCGGGGGTAGGACGAAGTCCCAGGTTACAAGGTTATTTTTTTGTATATTTGTGCGGAGTATTATCTAAGGAATTCCGCTACTAAAGGTTTGGGTGTTTTAAAGGTAGGGGAATTATTCTACCCCAGGAACAGGCATTAGGGCCACGCATTACGTATATGTAAACACAAGGGGTTTCGGGGTTCCGAGGTTACAAGAGTACGGGCAAAAGCGTACATACATGCTAATGGTATGAGCATGTGGAAACAGTATGTTGAAGTTGTAGATTCTGGGATCTGTAATTGTAGATTCTTGAAATGCTGTTGTACAGTAACATTCATTGTCTTTATAACATAAGTGCAAACGTCAAATGCGCACACCCAGCCCAATAATAATGGCCCTGGCTCAAACGATAGTCCTAGCTCAAACGATGGACAACTACAAATTTCGTGAGTCTCCCATTTCCAATCTAGCTGCATGATGCATCTAATGTGTTTGGCTGCGCTGTTTGTGGTGAACGTCTTCCTGGCCGTCACCAGTAGCGTCGTCGCCCTTGCCAACATCCCCCGCAACGGGTGGTATGACTGCCCCCTCAGCACCTTCGAGTTGAAGCCACCTAGTAAAGATTACAACGCTACAGCAAATTCCCTGTACAACGAGGAGAAAAAACGTATCTCCCGCGTCTTTACCCAATGTGCGGTGTTCGACATGCCCTTTTGCCACAACGACACGTCATGCACTCCTGCTCCCGGCAAGACGATGCCGCTCTTTGTGAAAGGGATACCAGCGTCCGTCGAGGGAAGCAAGAAGGCGCTAATCATGCTGGAAGGCGGTCCATCCGTGTCGTCAGCCACCTTGGAGTCGCTCATGAACAAATTCCACCGCGAGCTGTCTGGTGCGTTTCACATCTTCACCGTGGACCATCGAGGCACGGGACGCAGCGGGCTCTTGGACTGCCCGGCGGCCCAAGCGCTGAGCTTTGGAAGCCGCTACAGCAACGAAATCGCATTGCAAGAAGTCCCAAATTGTTTGCGGGACATCCATCACCAATTCGGCACCAATGCCGCGGCCGCGTACTCCGTCACGAACGCAGCGAAGGACTTGGCCGTGCTGATCGAGACCGAATTGGCCGATTACGACGTGTATCTGCATGGGTTCAGCTATGGCACGATGCTACTGGAACGCGTGATGCACTTCTCGCCGCCTCAAGTCAAGGGCTACATCCTCGACAGCATCGTCGCCGACCACCGAGAACCGCAAGGGACCGGAAACAACCACGTGTTTAGCAGCTGGGACGACGACCTCAAGGACGTGAGTCAGCACTTCCTGGACCTGTGCCAAAAGGATACGGCCGTGTGCGGCAAACTCCTAGGCGAAAACGCTACCGCCACCTTATTCAACCTGTACGACACGCTGGATTCGAACGCGTCGGCATGCTCAACTATCTTTTACGACACACTCGAGATCAAGCCGTCCATTATTCTCCGCGTGTTCTTTTTCAAGCTTCTCCGCGACTTGGACCGCCGCAAGTTCATCCCGACGTTTGCCACCCGACTACAGCGCTGCAATGCCCAAGACAAGGCCGTGATCACCGCGATTCTAACCAAAAATGATCCAGTCGACCATAGAATGGCCTTGGACTCCAACATCATCCGCGACACCATAGTGTTCGCGGAGCTGTGGCAAGTTCCCACGCCGTCAATGGAGGACATCATGCAGCAGTACCTGGCGTCGCCTATGGCGAAGTCCGACCCGGATGATGTCGGGCGGTATTGCCTCTTCACTGGCTCCAACTCGTCTGCGTGTGAGCCGTGGGTCGATATGAACGTCCCCCCCTGGACATACACCCCGGACAAGTACTTCAACAAAACCGCGGCCATTCCCATCGGGGTGTCTGTGCTCGGTCTCACGGGCAACTTGGACCCCATGACCACGTCAAAGCATGCCCGACGACACTTTAAAAACATGAAGGGCGACAACAAGAAACTGGTTGAGTTCCCCGTGGCAGTTCATGGCGTCATTGGGAACACCCCCCTGTCGGACAACCCCACTGATCCCGACTGCGGCTTGCTTGTGGTCGCCGATTTCCTTCTCGCCAACGGCGCGCTGGACGCGATAAACTTGACCTGCATGGACAAGGTGCAGCCTCTCAATTTCGACATCCCGGACGCCTTGGCCCTCGAGCTGTTTGATCTGGACGGCGGCGCCATGGACGGCAAAATACTCAACCCCGCGCAAGATGCCAAGGATTACAAATCCAAGTATACTGACATGAAGGTGTACAAGTCCAAGTATACGCAGATGAAGGTGGGCGTGATTGTCCTCAGTTTTGCAGTCGTCGGCCTTGGTGTTTATGCGTTCCTGAAACATCGTGAAGCCAAAGCGACGCGAGGCAAGTACGCAGTCTACGAAGACGCGTGCACGGGCAACGCTTCTTGATGAGCGGGATAGTCGCCACGTTCTCGAGAGAAAGAATCCCCCCAGTGCAAGTGTATCGTACCGGTAGCAAAGTTGTAAATGTGTATAACGTTAATTTACTGTTAATGTGTAAACCATTGTGGAGTATGCATAGATCGTTTTAGCAATTGTATAGTACCGGTAAGAGCATCTCCACCGCATCCCCAAATATGGAGATGCTCTTAGTAACGTCAGTACTCCGAGTATTAATATACTAATAGTAACCAAGTAATAGTAATTCCAACTTTTGGAAAAGTACCTTGCGTCCTTGAAGTATAGTAGGTAGGTCATTGGAACGATGAACATACAAAGCTTACGATTGAAATATCATCTTTGATTGGGTGAATGGTAGTCACGACCACTTCATTTAAATATAAATCTTCATTTCTTTTGATTGATTGTATTAACATATATTAAAAGAGTGGATGACATCATGCATTTCGTCGTTTGGTAGAAGACGTAGTACCGGGATTACATTGTCAACAAGGTTATACCGGCAATCAAGGAGAACGTTGATGAAGTCCTTGCATCAACAATGATCGCCTTCGAAACTCTCGAGAGCGAGATGTTGGCCAATGTTTTCCTCACCCTGCAGGCTGTCATGCGACTTGTACTCGAGCACCGTGGTGGCAACCACGTCAAGCTATCCCATCTGAAGAAAGATGCCATGAGACGTACCGGCACTTTTCCTCCTGCCCTGTGTCGCTTCTCTTCGAGGCAAAGAGCTATCCAGTCCCATACGTTGATTTTACAGTTAATCACATTCGGCATGCACGACAACAGCGCGGGAAAGCACAATTCCTACCCAAAAATCAAAATGTGAAACAATAAAAAGAGTATAAAACATATACTTAGTACCGTCAAAAAATGATATACTAGTATTGCATTTACAGTACCACGTGATGTATCACGATACAATGCTACAACTCTGGAAAGAAATATAAGGAAGTCAGCATGTTTTCGTGTGTAACTCAGGCAAAAACTTACTACGTAACAGCGTGCATTGATTGGGTAAAAATAGATCAATCACTGCAAAGCGAAGATATAACGCCAAACTACTGGTTAATATAATCAATGGTGATCGATCTATGAGCCATTCAAATTTCAATACTTTAATCCATATAAAAAAATTGAAGTTAAACCATTGGGTGATGTTTTCTCAAAGCACTCTTAAAAGTGGGAACTTCAACCAGGGGCGTTAATTCCGGATGACCGGATATTATCCGTAAGTGACCGAACCTCGCCAAGAAAAGGCCGAAGCAAGAACGGCCAAAGTGCCCCTTCTTGACACTTAGATTCTTGAAATGCTGTTAAAATGAGCATTTCCAGGATCTACAATTACAGAATCCAGAAGCTACAACTTCAAGCTATCCACATGTCGCATACGTTACCATGCATCTTTTTTTTTCCAGCTTCGTACCCTTTTGCCCGTACCCTTGTAACCCCGGAACCCCTTGTGTTTGCACATAATGTATGCCCCTAAACCACTTGTGTTTTCATATAATGCCTGTTTCCGGGGTTAGGTTGCATCGCCAGTGCTTAGCTACTGTCCATGCACATATTGTGCTTTGCAACTTATTTGGCCTAATCGACCTCAAATCTGCCGATTAATATGTACTTCGCGAGAGATTTAAATGTGAGAGAAGCCGATTTAGATTAATTTGGCCGAGATAGAAATATATCATACCCAGATTTATCAATCTTTGCCCAGAATTGCAGTTTCAAACTGCAATTATGGCTTGAAACTTGTTATTCTGCCCGACTTCAAAGTTGAAACTTGGTATTCTGGTCGACTTCAAAATTGATCTTGACTGTGAGTAGAACGGTGTTAGAGCTTGGAACTGGACAATCAGAATCCAAGAATTGTTTGTAATTACTGAATGCGTTTATTGCGGGCTCAGCACACGCTCTCATCAGTCCTTGCAATGATTGACATGCACTGCTGTTCTCTGTAGCAAACTTACTGTTAAAACGAGGCAGATTACTGTTAGTGTTTATTATCCTTCCGACCCATGTTAACGCTAAATCTGTCCCAGATTAAACTTGCGTTTTGACAGAAATCTAACATCATGTGAAGCTGAGTAAGAGCGTAAATACGACTACTCCAAATAAGTTGCAAAGCACAAAGGAATAGCTGGAGTACGGAAGTGTGTGTAACAGGTTGGCATACCCGATCAATCTGATCTTGAAGTTCCAAAGCATACAAAGTTGAAGTACAACACTTGCAGTTATGGTTGCAGTTGTATATTCTTGCCAGAAGTGTACATTCTTGAGAAAAGTTGTAGATTCTTGAAAGAGAAGAGAGAAGTTGTAGACTCTAAAAAGGCGCTTGTATTTTCTATTTATCTCTGTTTGAAGTTGAAGATTCTGGATTCCGTAGTTTTGGATTCGTGAAATGGTGTTGTAAATTCATTGTTTCTCCACCTGCATTTTCTCACTGTCAATTGAGGATACAACCGTAGCGTACTGTAGTACCACTACCGGTAGTTTAGCCATGAAGAGGATATCAATTTGCGAGGGTTTTCTTCCCTTATTTTTGCGCTGTTAATTGGTCTTGAAAATTGATCGTTCAGTTAAACAGGGCCCCAAGTAATTGACTCAACATTGCTTGACTGTCGAGTCGTATATCTTAACAAAAACTACATGTTCTGCGTAGTAATTTTTTATGGTAATTCGATATTCGCCGAGAACAGGTTAGTTTTCGACCTCCAACAGATAGTCAGTAACCAGCTGTTACCGGGGAAATCCTCTATAATTGTGCATTGCACCTTTTTGGCGAACTCATCAGTGCACAATTCTCTGGAGCAGCATCACACAAAGCTCTACAAAATTCAAGCGTCCAAACGGGTCAAAATTGTAACCACTTCTGCCAGTATTACAGCCAATCGTGTGTAAGAAACAAGGTGTGATGGACTCTGATTGGATATTAAAAAGGAGCAAGGTGGCTCACCTTGCGAATTCCATTAACAAGCCATCTTTTGTGTGTTTGGCTACCAAATGTGATACATAAACTGACAACATAACGTCGAGTTTTTACTGTTTTCTGACAGAAAAAAGTTTGAACTGCAACTGTTCAATTTTTACCTGCATGTTATTCTATCGATACAGTAGTTCTCTTTCCAGAGGTCACATCAAAATATTTTTGAAAATATTTTCTCACCTCCCATTTGAAAAGGGAATACTGTGTCAGAATATTATTTGAGATATAATTTTCTGTGGCATAAATAACGTCTAAAGTAACTTAAATAAGGATTGGGTGCGTTGTTTAAAGTTACTTCATCTATTAATAATGCGATGGTTGGTTGATTAACATTTGTAAAGGTGGTTTTACAGGCACTTTCGTAAAACAAGTTGTTTGCTGTTTTCATTCTGGCAAACAACTTGTTTTATTTATGTCAACGCGTCAATGTGCTTACCGCAAAGAAACTGAAGCAGCTATGGCCACATTCATGACCTCCCATCCGTGATCACTACAATCAATAACTAGTCGGAGTAATTTATAACGCTAGGGACAAACATTAACTGTACTCCGAGTAATTAAAAACGCTAGGGATTTAGTTAGGCTAGTCGTCGCTCTGTCCAATGATTCAAAGCTATGCCATTCCTACAACACTTGATCTGTACTAGCATTAGTACTGTACGTGGACAGGAAGGGCGCGCTACAACTACACGATGTATAGTCCTAATACGGTATGCATCGTGATGAACTGATGGTTGCGCTATGTAAGTTGGCCTGGTGCTGCAACTCGATTAGTTAGCGGCTGAAATAAATTAAAGACTGTTTTATTCTGCTTAAACTTGGGTTTAGCGTAGTTTTATCTTCAATAGGGCTTATATTATTTTAAATATCTGTTTTCAACGGGCAAACTCGGGCAAACGCAAAGTCGAAAATGGTTAAGACTGCAGTACAGTAGTGAACCGTACGAATGCCTTGGATGCACCCCACAGTTTGTTATCAAGCATGTGGCCACTCGACGAGTTGTCCATGACAACATTGATGATCAAGTTGATGATGATAGTACCGTACTTGAGCGCAATCCTGGCTAATGGACAATGGAGGAACAATTGCAATAATTCTAAAATGCACCCAATAATTATTGATTGTGATCTCCCCCGTCCGCATTGATTGTGCGGGCGGACTATGACCAATGTAATTTTTTACAATTGTGGACGTCATCAATTTGGAAATATATATATATTTCCCATACAGTACCCTGACTAGGGCGATAACTCCTACCCGTAGAGATAAATAGAAAATACAAGACTCAGTATTTATGTATATATAAACAGTCAGACCCGTACTATGTACGTACCCTTGTCCAGTTCGTTTTGAGGGTCCACGGGCAGGGCAATGTCAAACTTCATGCGCCAGTTGAACGAGGCTTTGCCGTTTTTAGCGCGCCAGTGGATGTCCGTGTGCTGCGCCTTGTCATTGTTGGACAGCATCCACAACTTGATAAACAGGTCGCTCATCTCGGACAGGTCGTCGCCGGGCATGACTTCCTTTGTCTTGTAAATCACCACGCGCACTTCAAACATTTCGATGGGCGGCAGCGAAATGTTCACGGCCGGCGACGCCGTCGCATCCACGGGCGTCAAAATATCCAGCCACAGCCGCAGCGACCCCAGCGTGATGACACTCGACGGCGTGTATCTACTCGTTCGATAGATAAATATATATTATTAATACTTCCTCTGTTTCATGTTACTGCCACGATAAGGACTGCTAACAACCCCAAAAATTTATTTCTTGTCCAAATTTAATGCTCAATATCACAAAAAAAGAGAATCAAACTGGACGTAGAGTCCATTGGCAACAAAGCACCAAAACGAGATATTCGTGGTCAAAATCGACGATGACTAAGCACCACCAGATTTAATAAAATAGATACCAGAAATCAGGGACCTGCCCCCCACATTGGGATCGAGTAGTCCATCATACGTGGTCCGCTTGAAGCAGCCGACCCAAGCACTGGTACAAGTGCTTGACAATCAGCGGCAACGGTGTCACACGGAGGACATCGGTGGCGACTCACCGCCCGCAGTGGTTGGCCCACTGCCGTACAAACGCCACGATGTGCGCGAGCACCCTGAACGATGTGATGGGGCGCGTCCGGGTCTCCATTGGTGGGCCACCCGATGCTGGATGAGCTATGAGTGGTCAAATTGGTTGTTGAATTATGCAATCTAATTGGTTGATTATGCAGTGCTGGCAAAAAGTTTAAAGCCACCCCAAAAAATTGGAGTTTCAGAACATCATGGATAAATGCCCCTGTGCATTGGATTGAATGTGCTTGGATTGCGTGGAAATGATATCGATATGCTTGCGTTTGCAAGAGCACAGCCAAATATACGATTTTATCGGTGAAATGTCTTTTTTCCCCTGGCAATAAGTTAATGACCACCAATAGAAAACAGCAAAACTTGGATGTGAAGGTTCATATATTACTGCTTAGTACTTCGTCTTCCCACCTTTGAGCTCTAAAACACTCATACACCTATTCGGCATCGACTTCAGGAGATTTTCGATAAAATTTTGCGCAACTTCATCCCACGCCTTGGAAATGGCAGCAACCAGGACGGTTTTGGTGGCAAATTGGCGTCCATGTGCATATACTGCACGCGCAAGAATTCCCCACATGTTCTCAATGGGATTCAGGTCCGGAGACTTCGCTGGCCACTCTATAACGCGTACGCCATGGTCGCTCAAAAAAACCTTGGTCTCCCGAGCGTGAATGGAGGCATTGTCGTGCTGGAAAACACAGTCGCGACCATAATTATAGTGGACAAATGAAAACATATAGTTCGACAAGGTACCAATGTAGGCGCCACTGTCCTGCTCGCCATCAAGAAACACCAATTCGGTCTTCCCTTTCGCTCAAAAGGCGCCCAATACCATGACGCTCGCGCCACCAGATTGACGTCGGTAAAATATCGCCTTCTCCTTGCGAAGGTCGTGCTAATAGTACTTCAGGCCGTCGGGTCCGTCTAGGTTGAACTTCTTTTCGTCACTAAAGACGACTTGGGTCCAAATGTCCGCGCCTTGGACAAGCATATCCAGCGACCACTGAAACCTTGCCTTCTTATGCTTGTCCGTGAGGACAGGAGTGACCTTGGCCTTGACAAACTTTTGGAATGGGGTAGAGCCAATCAAAACACGTTCCGCCTCATTCTTGAACCAAAATTATCGGCCGAACTATCCAGGGTCATTCTAGTGGCGGCCGGAGTTAGTGGACCATGATTGGTCAAAGATAAAATATGTCTAACCAATCAGAAGCATCTTCTCAACAAAGAGCATTTTAATGGACGAAGAGACCGCCGTGTGTGCAGCAGTTCTCGCCGCGGTGACAGCTGCTCTTACACCCTTCGACGGCCGCAGCAACCGTGGACCCATTGAAAACAACTTCGTTGTTCCAAACAACACGTGGTTGCTTGTGAAATCTACGACTTCCCTCAATGCATGGTTCACGCGGCACCTGCGATGCCCTCGACCCACGTTCAATCGAATTGTGGACTCCATTAGAACGGCATGGCCAACCGTGCACCCTGCTCTCCACCACCTCAACCGCTTTGGCATTGATGACCGCGTAGCTTGCACCCTTCACTACCTCACTCACTCAGACGGCTACGAGTCGACGGCAGAATTGTTTGGCATCTCAAAGACCAGAGCGTACGAGTATTGTAATCAAGTGTTTGCTGTTGTTCAACTCTGTTTCGTGTTGGATACCATCTCGATGCCAACGACACACGCCCAGTGGGAGGACATCAGAACAGGGTTCGAAGCGTATGGATTTCCCAATGCCTACGGCGCCATCGACGGCAGTTTGATATCAATAAAACGATTTGAAGACTTCACTGGGTGGTACTGCCGCAAGGGGTTTCCAGCATTCAATATGCAAGCTGTGGTTGATCATCGGATGAAATTCATGTCATACTCGTTGCGCTCTGGAAGTCAGAACGACAAGGCGCTCTTTAACCACTCGGTGTTTGGAAAAACGTGCCACCAAAGAGTCCCTGGGCGTGGCTGCTTTCTTGGCGACGCTGGGTACAAGCTGTATTCACACCTCATGACCCCATACACGATTTACTCGGACATGCCCCAGGACGAAGCGCACTACAACACGATCCACAGTCGCAGCCGCATGGTCGTCGAGCGCGCATTTGGGCTTTGGAAGAACAAGTTTCGTGTTTTTAAGACTGAGCTGCTCCAACATCGACCGAGCGACATGGCGCGCCTGATTGAAGTATCCTTGGTGTTTCATAACTGGTTCATTGAATTCAATGAGGAGTTGGATAACTTCGAACCCGAGTTCTTCCCCGAGTGGATGCACATCGGTGGTGACACAGTCTTCGATGAGGAGCTGAACCAAGTCGATGGTGCACCTGCACCATCGACTTGGTTCAGCTTGATCAAGTTGTATTTAATCCAACATGTTAGTATATAAGTATAATTGATCTATATCGCATCTTCGCATCGTTTCATCGCCTTATTAATTACATTGCACAAACATGCATTAAAATTCAAATTATTGTATTACTTAGAATTTACTTTAGAATTTACTTTGGAGAAGACCATAACAATTTACATTTCAAATTGTTGTAATGTTTAGAATTTACCCTGGAGAAACTGGAGCATTTTGTCGTTGACGTCATTGGTTTTATCGATGCTGGCTTTCGTTTCCTCCATAAGATCCAATAGCTTTGTCATTTGTTCTGACATGTCCACGCCAGAGCTGCGGGAGTTCTTCACCTTGGCTGCCTCAATGAGTCCACTCGCCAGTGCTTCTCCGAGGTTACTGAGCCCCGCCGCAAGGTCTGGATTATGCTTCTTGCGCATTTGGTGCTGGCGCTGCATCTCCAAGTCTATTTCAACCTTCCGCTTGTTTTGTTGCATGGCGCCAGTGGCATGCAAGTCCTCTAGCACTTCGACGTCGTCTTCGGCGCCTGGGCTAGCACTGGGGGTACGCTCCATGCCAAACTCGATGTCTCCGAGCCCATGCAAATCCGCAAATGCAACCAACATCTCCGAGTAGTAGCTCGGCTTGGGGGGGGTCGACAGCTCGTCGTTGCCAGTCGCTGTCAAGCTACGCTGGATCGCAACGAACTCCGACCGCAACTTTCCCAACTTGTTCTTGAGTGAATCGACTGAGACCTAGTGTATAATAAGATCTTTGCATTTTGTATGATATATTTGGTACCTTGCGCGGCTGTTCAGTCAAAATGTTAAACCGTAAGGCAAGTTTTTCCCAGAGTACATGCAGTTGCTTGCTGGACAGGTCGGCATTAAACGATGCGCGAAATCCAGTGAATCGTAGCTCGAGTAGTGCGTTTACCATGGAATGTGTGTACACAACCGGGGCCTCACTTGCCATGTCAACAAGGCTTGTCGCCATCGACGATGCAATGCTAGACGTGGAAGGTTTGGTTGAGATACGTTTCTTGGGCGTTGTCGTAGCTGCGACGTCGTTGTCACCCTGCAACTGCTGCGGTTGATGCGACAGCTGCTGCTGAAGCAGCTGAACTTGCTCGAGGAGCTGGGCCTTGGTCATCTTTACCATTGGTTTTAGAAGCATGTTGATGGAAATTTACAATGTGTTCCAATGCGACTGTGCTATGATTGGTCACAATTTGGGCCAATAAGACTGAATAATATCTACACTGGTGGACAAGAATGAGGTAGCGAATGACGTGAATTACAAATTTGGATCATTCTTGGTCATTCTTATCCTATTGGTCGGAACAGGTTCTAAGGTGATCGCACGTGGCAAGCAATTGGCGCGCACGACGAGCCTTGATGGTCAAGTGGCATTGCACCACAAGCTCTCGTGAGCTCAAAAACGAATTGGAAGCGGTCCGAATGAGGCGGCGAATGTCGGTGTGCGTGACCTTGGGCGGTCGTCCTGTACGCTTTTTCGTGTTGTAAGCTGCGGCGTCTTTCAGGAACAGGGTTATGGCACCCTTCGAGCGTCCGATGAGGCGCTCAATCTCTCGGAGGCCTTTGACGACGGCTTTAAGGGCCAAAATCATACCTTGCTCTTTATCGGAGAGCTTGGACCCGGCTGGCATGGTGAACTTTCGTTTGAAAACTGATACAGGCGGGAATCGGTCAAATTCAAGGACGGGAGCATAAAAACGCATGGTTTTTGTTTAAAAACGCTTGGATGACCATAAAGAACGCTGTGGTTTTATACTTTTTGCCAGGTTAAATTTGCCTAATTTTGTGTTTTTGTGCTTTGGTTGAGTGAGGGACAGCTTTACGCGGTGAAATGAATTCAAAAGCCATGGAATCGATGCTTGAATTGATTGCATAACTTGGGACGACCATGATTACAATAGAATCTTCAAACCACAACAATTATAGGGTGGCTTTAAACTTATTGCCAGTACTGTAATTGGTTGATTCAATATTACTCTTCATTATTCAGAAGTCAGCGTGTCAGTGAGTTCATTGGATGGTGAGTGCGCCTTGCTCTTGCTATATCGGGTAATACGCCTCCACATCTCGAGGGTTGCCTGAAGTGAGGTGCTTAACGGAGAGAGTTTGGTTTACATTCTACAGTATGAGGGAATGCTCTAGGAAGCGAGCTCGCGCAGTTGCAGCCAATACGACGAAAGGTGGGGATTCCCGGTAAGGTCGAACCCTGGCGTGAGTGGCAGCATCCTATACACACTATAGTTAGGAGTACTCAAGTATATTGAGCAATACACGAAACCCATGAAGCCACGAGCTACGCAATGCCAACACCGGCAACAACCACATCGACGAACTCCGTTGTCTAGATATCACTTCATGATCTTGGATGATGATGGCTAGGTACATGTTAGGATCTAAGGGGTGATAATGAATGGTGCACCAAATGACTGTGGTTTGCCTATGAAGTCATTGAAACTACGTGAAGACACCCGATGCCCGCCACGCTGCAAGGTCGAGCCAATGCAAGCATGGACGTCCGCTTCTCTTGATGACGTCATGAATTTTACTTCGACACGTGAAATATTTTCGAGGTCCTCAAAGATTGGTTAAAATATATCCAATCATGAAATACTATCTCAAGATAACAATGAGTTGCACTTACACATTTTAATAGATAGCATTATCCATCACTTTCAGCGTGCATACTTTATTCCATATATACACGAGTGCAACACTGCGCCAGTTTTATGAAAGTTCTACGCGTCCAAGGGAAAGTTGTATAATCTCTAGGTATTCTATATTATCCACAACAATATATTTTAAAAGTTACAGAAATTCTAATTATAGTTATATATGGTCTAGCTATTTTACAGTTTTCACAACTACATATATGTTTTAAAAGTTATAGAAATTCTAGTTATACTTCAGCATTTGAATTTTGTGAACAATTGAGTAATTTACTATACCAGTATTATTTGCTGCACCGGGGACATCGAGCCTCAGGCCACTTCGCACTGTTGCTTCTACATTATGGCATGCATTAAACATGAACTAGACAAGATCATGCACAACTTTTAGAAAATCTATCTTTATGCAAGTTGTAGAAGTAGTAGAAATACTAAAACATATGTAATTTGTGATATGCACTAGAGTATTGAACGAATACCTTCGGTCGTTAATCTTCTTTAGGAGATGTAGCATGTAACGGAAATTCTGCATTACAGCATCCGAACTGCGGAGCTCAGTCCCCAACCACTGGTTGGCAAACTCGCTCATGTTGGATGTGACATTGACAAACGTCGACCGCGTAAACGCGTATGTCACCCCATGTTCGACATGGATTGTCAACAAATAGTCGGCAGCATCTATTAGTCAATACAGTAAGTTAATTAATAGGATTGTTTGATATTTACCAGGGTTTAGCGCTCGTAGTTTTTCCATGTGCCGTGCAAACGTTTCATGGCTGTCGGATCGAGCTAACTTGAACGCCAAGCCTTCTTCAGTACTGGACAGGGGCCGTCCTTGCGCCGTGTTGATGTTGGCAACAATATAGCGCAAGCAGTATCTGTGTGGAACGCCAGGACATTCCGCTTTGCAGGAGTTGGTGAAACCTACACAACCAATGTATTTACAAAATCTGAAAGTTGTAGAATTAAAACAAATGATGCAAGTTATGAATAATGTGAAATGTATGAAACTTTCAACTCTCAAATACCTTTTAAACGATCAGACACAAGGACATTGCTTGACAGCGGAAGTCCTGCGTCTTTCAAGCATCGCAAAAACCAAGCCCAATGCTGGCCGTTCTCGACTGGTACGATAGCAATCCCTAATTGATATAAGTATGTGTTGTAGTTTAATGCGACAACGTACCCAATACAATGAGATGATTGTTGGGATCTTTGGTTGTTGCAAGTAGTATAACTCCACTTGAATTGATAAGATCCTTTAAATGGGCTCCTACATGAAACGTCAATACATGAATGTTTGTAAATAAAGTTACACAGCATTACCGTCAAGCGCGATAACATTCTGACAGTTCTCAAACGCATTAATACAAAACTTCGGGATGAGCGCGCTTCGGTAGAATGATCTTGCTTCAACAAGCGCAAACCACCCTGGATTGCGCGCCTTCAGGAGCTCAAAGTAGCTCCCGACTTTCTCAAACGCCATGTCCACTGAGCCGTACAGATGTTTCACGAGTTTTCGCTTGGCAAGACTTGCCGATGATGTCGATATCGTTTTGCTCGCTGAAAGTGGCCAATGATTTGCTTGCCGGTCAGTCGTCGTGGATCGGAAACGAGTTCCATAATGTTCCCATGTGTTTGAAGTGTTTCCACAATCTAATACTTTTATGAGTTTCATTAGTTTCAGATGTTTAACAATGTGTAGTACAACTACAAATAATACAACATACTAACCCTTTTGAAACAGCAGGGTGACATTTTACCCCCGTACTTTGAAAAAGTGGGTGATTGTGCATCAAATTCATCGATATGATAGACGCAACCTCATCACATCTCACAGAAGATCGGAAAAAAGAACTCGCAACTCTCCGTAGAACAAATCCACTTTGCTGTTATCGCATTTCGATACTCTTACTTCTGGCGAAGGCGAAAGCCTTGCTTCAAACTGAAAGTGTTCATGCACTCCTTCAAATACACTAGGCTCCCGAAGTCGAGACCTTTCACAGAATTCAAAACACTTTTTCAGGCGTAGTCGTGTTCGCTCTCAGGAGGCCTTGTGAAGTTCATCTCTACGGCTAGAAGCAAGTACTCGTCAGAAACGAAGCCACTCATACTTTAGTGGTGTATTTGCAAATGTTGTCAATCGTCACCACAACAGTTAAAATTATGAGCATGCGGATAGATTTAATGGTCCTGCCGATGCGTACAACTGTTCTTATCTGTGCAAGAAATCAGATTATCCGAACGAATATCCGTTATTCCAAAAATTCCCCAAAGAAGGTAGGTCTGGGGAGTTTTGAAGGTAGGCACCCCCTGCTGTGGGGGAAGTAGTCCCTGCAGTCCATGTGCTCCGGGCCCCGCCGACTTGCGACACAAACCGCCACATGCCAATCTTCCCGTCGAATCCAACAGCTTCGCGCGGACGTGCCACAGCACCGAGAAACATAATCTTCGATATGAACCGCTTGGACTTGCACGGGCGCTGCTTGACGACCTCATCACCAACAAGGTAAACCTTTCGGCAGTCTTTGTCGGCATTGAACCATTTCTCGTCCAGGTGGACTACATCCCACGTTGGCCTCGGTAACTATGGGCGTGGCACTGCCGGTAGTGCCGGTGAGGTGAGCATTGACGGTCTCTTGCGTGAGTATAACGTGGACCACGCAGAACGCTTCACGCTCATGCTTATTTTCTTCTATCAATAGTGGCATTTCATGATTCCCTTTTTCATAGCGCGGCTGAGTGTGCTGATTGATGTGCCAGTTACCTCCTGGTTGTCCCTCATGGTACTGCGTTGTTTGTGAGGTACTTCTTGAACGACTGTTTTTATCTCCTCTACTGTGCAGCGCGTCCTGGGCCCAACACGGCCGTGCTTCATTGCCTTTGTGCTGCCTGACTTGAAGCGCGACCACAGTGTGCATACGATATAGCGGTCCAGTTCGAAGCACACGATGCGATCGCCTTGATGGTGCCACGTTGAAGCATGCCCATGTATAGGTCGTCTTGAAGAGCGGTGGCTACCTCAAGCTTCGCCGCTCGGTCAATAATATTCTCGGGTCATTCGAGGGGATGCGCTCATGGCGGGAAATTTGAATGTGGGGGGCAGGTCCCTGATTTCTTTAAAAAGTAACACTATTTATTTTATTAAATCAGGTGATGCTTAGTCGTCGTCGATTTTAAGCATGAAAATCTCGTTTTGGTGCTTTGGTGCCAATGCATTCTACCTCCAGTTTTTTATTCTCTTTTTTTCGTGATACTGAGAATTAAATCTTGGCAAGAAATGAATTTTTGGGGTCGCTGGCACTCCTAGTTGTTGCAGTAACATGAAACAGAGGAAGTACATACAGTACTGTACTACATCTGGTAGGTATTAACAGTAAGTGCAGGCTAATATTCAATGCAATACAAAAACGAAGTCAAACGAATCTGTATTTAAAACGTTTACACTACCACGACCTGCATCAGGTCACAGATACCGCTCATGCGATCCTCTTCTTCCACTCCCATGAGTCAGTCATTCGCCGTTGAAGCGTTGGGGCTAGTAGGGACGGCAGAGACATACGAAGTATTCAATTGGTTGAAACTCATGTTGTGTTAGTTTAGCTGTTCAATCTGTAGGGCGTTCAGAAAGGCGTAGCAACGAAGGCAAGGAGTGGCTTGAATATAAAGTAGCATGCCTCGGCAACTGACACCAAAGCGCCAGCTGCAGAGGAGTGCTTCGAAACTAGTACTTATCTGGTGCATCTAAGATATCGTTGATCAATCACTGGTAGAATTCTGGCCGGATGTACTGCTAGGCGCCTAAGCTGCGGCGTCGCCGACGCCGCCTAAGTTGCTTTTCGTAGTTCCTCCAAGTATCTTCATGTGGCGATGCATAGGATTCTATGTCACTATGCATAAAGATGGAGGTTGTCATTAACTTGTTTGCTCCCACCGCGCCACTGATTGACCTCCACTTTATGTGGGCCATCCTCGGAGGTCGCCCGTGGCAGTGGTTCCGAAATATTTATCCTGTACTTATTTTTTCGAACTTGAGGAATGCAATATTTACTTTTCCAAGAGTATAGATGGATTACCTACTGTATTCTTTTTCTTCCTATTCAAATAATTCATGAGAATATCCGTTTATTCAACATGTTCTAACGCCTAACTACCCACTTGCTCATAGCTTTAGCAAGATCGGACACGTCCCAGAGCCAGTTTATTCACTTTCAAGAACATTGGTTGCTCAAAGTTCTGCGACGTCATTGCGCGACGTTGATCGGTCAAAGCCAGCTTCGCCCACGAGAAGAACCGCTCGCACATATAGGACGTGGGTCGCAGGAACTGGCAATCCAGGTACTTGAACTCCTCGTGACTTGTCTTCTTTCGTTTTTTGCTTGTTCAGACAGGTTCAAAGGCTTGCCGCTTGGTGCCTGCGCGGCCGGGTAGTTTATCTGCAATCCACAAACGCCTTCCCGCTCAACTGCACTCAACTGATCCGTCGCGTTATTCAACACCTTCGTAACGGCAGATTCGAAATTCGGGCTTACCACAATCTCGGCGTTTGGGCGCAAACGCTTGTCCGCATCCGGGTAAAGCAGGATCGTCTCAACAAAGAGATTGCGTGCGTCCAAAATGGTTACGTCTTCAGCTTGTAGGTCTTTGGTTCCTGATTCTAGCTCGCTGAGGATCCCCAGCAACATGTCCTTGTCTTGCTCGTCGGTGGGGAGTAGAGAGAGGATAATGCGGTCGTTGAGTTGATGTACAAAACCTCGGATGGCGATTTAGCGCTTAAGCATTGCGTACGTTGAGCTCCAGCGGGTTGCGTTGCGTGTTATTGCCGTTAAGTGGGTGAGACGGCGGAGCCTGGCAGCCGGCAGAAGGTTGTCCAGTTTTTCATAAGTTCGTTCACTACATTGAGGACAGGTGCGTCTGCTTTCAAAATATCACAAAGAAATAAATTGAAGCGATAACTCGCACATCCAACCAATGGAACCCCACAACGCTGTGCAAATGCACCATTCGTTGAGAAAAAGTCGGATGGACTATGCAAACTTGAAGTTTTTGCCGGACAAACGTCCGTCTTTTCCGTTCAGTGGAATGTGCTTTCTTTACAAAAGATAAGTCTAAAGCTAAAAAATAACTTTATCATGAAAAAGTCGGACAGAAATCCTGTATTCATTCATTGGCACAAATTGACCCCATCATAGCAGAAGCAGCGCGTGAAGGCCCATTGGGAACCAAGTCGACCCGCCAGCTATCAACAACAGTGCAGGACCATCGAGACTATCGATTTGCCATGAGTTCCAAGAAAGGGTACCACAACGGCATCAATCTAGTCGTCATATGGCTTCATTCGTCTGGCCGCTCGAACATGGTCAACGACGACGGTTCAATCAACCTCAACGAGTTTGGTTACGCTGAGTTCACAGAGTTTGTGCTGTACAAGTACAAACACGCAAAAGTCTCTCCGTCGACACTTTCTGGTTATCGTTCTGCGATAAAGGACTACTACAACCGACTCAATGTGCCAATTCCTGCTGGCTTTGCCAACGATGCCACGGTCATCTTTCAAGGTACGTGACGTGCCAAACGACCTGTGTGCCCATGTTTAGTGTGTAGGAATTCGCAGACTCTGCGCAAGCGAGACCCAATCTGGCACAATCAAACCAGGTGGGAAGCAGCCTCTACGTCACCTCCAATATGTCGCCCTTTGCAAGGAAAGTCTCTCAAAGCTCGACGCTGATTTCACGCACCTGTTTCTCATCTTGACGTGGAACCTCATGTGCCGATCGAAATCGACTTCGACTGTGCGTATTGACCATTTGACCGACGAGGGCGACGCGATCGGCGTTACATTCTTCAAGTCGAAGACCGACCAGGGAGGCACGAAGCGGCGTGATCCAAAGCACGTTTATGCGAACCCACTGCGACCAGAGACATGCTGCATTCTTGCGTTGGCTCTCTACCTCGCTTGCAACACCCAACACGATTCTGGCAACTTGTTTCCTGGTTCAGCGCAGCGGGATCGCTTTGGCCGCGGCTTGTCCCAACTTGTTGAAGACGCTCTGCCTGCCGCTTCCAATTCCCTGGGAACACACTCACTCCGTAAAGGTGCGGCAACGTTTGCAATTGGTGGGAGTACCTCGGGGCCGTCCATTGTCAACGTGTGTATCCGCTGTGGGTGGTCAATTGGCAGTGTCGTTGAACGATACGCGCACTATGATTGTCACAGTTCCGGATACAAGATCCGGATCCACGTGGCTGTACCACGGCACACAGGTTGAAGACAAAGCCAGACCCAAACCCACGAGCGGCCAACGACGCCGCTACGTGCCAAGGAAACAGCAAAGGGTTCGCCGCCCCTTTGATTCGGACCACCCCCGGCCCTTTATGTTTACCAGCTCAAGATGGCTGGTCCTGCTTAGCTTAGTCATAGCGTTAGATTGTTATAACGCTATCAATTCACTTCTCATTTTACCATCTACTGCGCCTTCCTCTGCGCACGCACGTTTACACCTGGTAGCACTCCACGTTCGTCCACGGCCTATGTCTTCCTCCTCCACCCCCATTACGCCAGCGCATCAACTGGTCCTCGACCGCATGTACCTGGTGTTCGGCGAACAAGACACTGCAACCCTTCTCGGGGGCCTCTCCCCCGAGAACCAAGCCCGTCTGGTGGAGGGCATCGGTTGACTTATCGACCAAGCCGTCACGGATGCCGTCACCCCCCTGACTGCACTTCACGCCGCTTTGGAAAGCCAACTGTCCACCATGGCAGCCCATGGTCGTACTTTCGAATAGTCACTCGCACGCAGCGCGACTAAAGTCGAGCGCCTTACGTACGCGCTCCATACCTCCGAACAACAAAGCCCTCCCGGCTGAAGCCGATCAAACTCGAGGTCACGAAATTTGGTGGAGCGGAGTCCGACAAACTCCTCCGCTGGATCCTCCAAGTTGAGACCGCTGCGAACGCGCAGCGTATCTTGGACGACGACACTCGAGTCGCTTTCGCGATGTCGCACTTGAAGGGCCGTGCCGAAGATTTGGCGTTTTCCAAACGCCTCATGGACCCTTTGTGCTTTCCCTCCCTCGACGACTTCATGCATGAAATGAAGTCCACGTTCCTGCCCCCCAATAGCGACTTTCGCTATCGCACCAAGTTTCTTGAATG